AAGCTGTGTGTGACACACAAGTCATACCGATGTGAGTGGCAGTGATCTTGACGAAGAGCACAGGTATAGCTGGACAAGTGACGTAGATATACCAGACCTTTAAGATTGAACACACGTTGACGTGTTAGAAGACCGGCTCATTTGAACCTAATTTTGCAATATATTTGCATCTTAACACTACTAACATTTCTGCTACTATATCTGGCTCATCCATCAAAGCACGTATTTGAATACGGAAACTAGTGGCATTTACGGTGTGTCTAAAATGTATCTGAAACAGTGAGGAGTTCGTTTTTGTAATATGCGGTTCACTTATTTTCCATAAACTTGTCGTAGAAACTTCGAAGTTGAAGACAGCTCATTAACTTTCCCCACACGTCTTTCCCAGATAGGAAGATCCCTAAGAATTTGGAATAATATGGGCTATCAGGCGGGTTTGGGATGCTCTGACGATCCTCGACACTTTTCACTTGGTCTGTGTCGTGAGCGTCGGCCAAAGGGCTTACAGGCTGGCTCGCGGCTGACGCGACGCGCGCATGCTCTCGGTGCACGGATCGATCCAATCGTACATCCGTGAATATTTACGATGAATATGAAGCACAAATGCGCAATTTCGTACGCTTATTTCGAATAAAATGGTCAATCCTACGATCTAGCACTCGTGAATATCTTTGGGGTTTACTTCCTCAAATGACAAGCCAAAAAGTGTTCATACGAGCTATAGTACCTGTATAGCGAGAGTATGGACAGATCGCATCATGGAGGGCTTAGGGCCCAAAAGTGCAGCCACCCTTCTAACCAACTTCTAACGCACAAAATTTCACTGCCAGTCTGCAGGTTCCAATTCTAACCAAGATGGCCAAGAATGTACATAAATGAGCGTTCTTCCGCAAAATTGAGTAAATTTATGCAAAAACTGAGTCAAACACGTGCTTAATAAACGACGGTTCGTAACAATAGTATTAGTAAATCGTTCTGGATAATTGAAATTCATAGGTTGGCTGCATTTCTGGGCCCTAACTTTATTCGCAGAAGCATCGGTGAAGGCCTGATGGATTTTCGGAGTTTCACATCTGTCCATACTCTCGCTATACAGGTACTCTAATACGAGCTAGAAGCTGTTCTCGCGGCTTCAACGGAGGAATTTTCCACGGGGTGCGAGCTTGGTCAGAAGTGGATGGTGGATCTTTATACTGTCGTGCTCAGTAAAACCGCCGTATGAGCATCCGAAAGTTGCCTAATTTTTTCTTAGAAAAGATTGAATTTTGAAAAAAAGCTATGAATGTTTTTTCTTGAAATTTTCAGACGTTTTGGATCAAATTACGAACAAAATCCTCTGAAAAATTGAAGGAGCAATATTCAAACAATTTTCTGAAAATTCATGATTTATTGTCAAGGAAATTTGGTGACGCCTGATGGCTTGCACGGCGTTCTTGCCTAGCACGGCAGTATAGTCTTCAGCGCAGCCCAATCGCGTGCTGGGCAGTTCATTATCACCCCTTTGTACGGGGCACGGTGATGTGATGAGTAATAATATTCTGAACGCTACCTTTCCTCTACATAGTGCAAATTATTCCAATTTCTCAGGAGTCCTTCTATCTGGGACAGACTATAACTTATAAAATTTGACCATCAAAACATGATTCTGAGATATAAAGATCCCTAATGTCGGGGGAACTGAATAACATTCCTCCTCTCCATTTGTGATGGAGTCGTGCGAAATGGACTTTCGGGGGTTACAAACAAATAGCTCAACTTTCATAGCAATTTGTCCATAGGCGGATCCAGCGATTTGGCAACACTGTAGTCCCTCCATTTAAAACTATGCTAAATAATCGATTCTCGTCGGAGCTCCTAGCCCGTCCAAGAATCGATACATTTCCATAGATTTAAATGGAGCAAAGACAATGTTGCCAATTTCCTGGATCCGCCAATGAATTTGTGTACATCTCTATCGTAGGGCGATGACTGGGAACAGGTAAAATCAAAATAAAGGAGCTATACCGTTGTGAAGTGCCACAAAATGTTAAATGCCACATTTTCTTGATCAAGCATGTAACCTACGTTTCTTGCCATTTTTCCCCCCAAAGTAGATTCCTCAATGCAGAGTCAACAAATGTGAGAGATATTGCACTTAAACCTCTGGAAAATATGGACGAAATGTTGGAAAAGTGGCATCATTGGTGGTTGAAAAGGGGGTTAGAGCTTAAACAAACGCCATTGGCAGACGCGTATCGTCGAGCGGTTTCACTGACATTTTGCACGGATGAATGGATTACGCATGGATCGAACGGATTAAATAAGAACTAAGAGTCCGTGAAAGAAAAAAAAAATAGTGAAACTCCTCCGATCGCGGTGCGCCGACCAAAAAAAAAAGAAGACTAGTTTACACGATGCCGGCCGTGGTATAGCCAGTCAAATTACAACGGGTTTGCAAAACGTATCGTCAGTTGCAGTGTTTTGCATTCGACATACTGTTGCCAGGCTGTACTGCAGCTAGAAATAAACTACTTTTTGCGATGCGGAACAACCAGTTCCGACTTATTTTAGAAGCAACGTAAGGGCCATTAGTTTCCCCATGTAGATAGGTGATTTTCAGAATGAGCCAGAATCAGTGGATCCTTAATTGCAAAATAAAGTCCATTGAGTTTCGAGTACTTCGAGGACTACAAAATTTATTTATTGGGGATAGCGTTGAAAATTTTGCTAACAAGACAATGTACATTCCCACCAGTCACAGAAAAAAGAGGTGGGGGTTAAGACTCAACTTGGGCATTTCCGATGTTGGTTGTGCTAGTACCCTAATAAATTAGGTCACTAACCCAAATTTTGCTGTACTACCCCAACTTGAGTTGGAGTGCTACCAAAATTGATTGAAAATGATCGTATCATCCAATGCATTAGGGTAGTACCACAATTTTAAGGAATAACCGAACACTTTTTCCCGTGATGTTCCATAAAAAACAATGACCCATTGTTAATTCAAAGTCTGTACTCTTCGAATTTTCATTTCTTGGTGGCTAAAACAAGAGATTCCTGTTTTAAGCCTATGATCGGTTTCCGACGACGAGTTGATCTCTGAGTTGCGGGTTAGTGCCATCCAATACGAGCTCTGGATAAGCGCGTTTCCTTAACCTTTTTTAATGACCGTCACTCTTTTATCGTAATGACGTATATTCATTTTCAAGTGAGCTCAGAAAATCATAAAATCGCAACGATTTCCGTTTAGAGTAACGTTTACCCCTTCCCCTCCCCTCATTTCCGCCGCGCAAATACACCCCCTACCCCTCAAAAATGGCGTTTCTGGAAGTTGCTGAATATAATACATCTCAAATGAAATTATGTTGATTTTATACATTCAATTTTGACTTCGATTGAACGTAAACAACCTAACTACCAATGGAACACGAGACGTTGTTCAATTGGTATTTCTCACCCACGGATCACTTTCCATTTTCGACATCGTCATCTAATTCTGATATTTTCCATGCACGGACGTTGTTTGTAAGTAAACAAGAATAACTACTACAATACATTTCTTGCAGAGGGATGAGAGTCGCTTGTTTTGTTTCTAAACAGCTTGAAGTAACTTAGTTCTTTTTGAACCGGAGGAAAAGATATCCCACGGATGTCTGTAATGTACCTCTCTTAAAGGTATGAAGGCGGAAATATATGAGCTGGAGAACCAATATATTCATCGGACGTCTTGAACGAATCAAAGAGCCTGGTAGCGGCTAATAAACAGTCTATGATACGCTCCCCAGTAAATCTAGTAGCTAGCACTAGACTTTTGGCATTGCGAGCCAAACGTCTAGAAAATATCCTGAAAATTTACGTAGTAACTGGTGCCAGGCGGGCCAGGCCTTTAGTATTGTGAACCAGACGTCTGGTAAATATCCAAGAGATGTAGTGACTAGTACTTGACTTCCAGTATGGTGGACCGTACGCCTGGTAAAACTTCAGGAAATATAGTCCTAAATGTTCATTACAACCTACTTTATTTCCTGAATCACCGTATTAGTAGCCAGACGGTCTGGCAGCTCTTTAAGCAGGTTTATTTTATCGTTGGCAAGAACTGAATCCCAAAACTTGAAACACACTTCGCTCTTGGCTATCTAAACTAATTAATAATGTGAGAGAATGAGAATATTAATGGCTAAAGTGCGAGACCACGTACCTCCGTTTGCGACGTTGTTAACTTCCAGTCATAATTTATTTTTTCCTTGGAAAACTACCTCACGTGATTTCTTAAAAACTATCTATTTTTTCTCTCTATCAGTAGAATGTTCTGTATTCATTTCAGACCGTAAAGTTGACTTGTTCCTCTTCAAAAAAATATATATTAAAAGTGGAAATTTCGAAATACAGCAATAGAAATACGTGGTGTCGCACTTGAAGCATCGATATTATCCGTCAAATTTCACACGGAGTAATAAAATTCGTGCGTGGGACCCGAAGTGGAGTTCATATGGATTTCTGAAGTTTTCGGATCACGTATCTAAAAACTTGAGGTCTAGCTGTCGAAGTTCAGGTCAGACATCTGAAGTAGTCCGGTACATACCGAAGTGCCTCGATGTCTGACCCGAACTTCGGCAGCTCGACCTCAAGTTTTCGGATGCGTGATCAGAAAACCTCAGAGGTCCATATTACCGCAACTTCGGGTCCTATGCACGAAGTTGTTTTCTCCGTGCAGTAGCAAGACTAGAAGTAAATAATTGTAAAATCTACATATTTTCCTTAGGCTTCAAAGGTGAGCGAAGAAGAAAATATCTCATGCAATTTGAATCAAATCGATTACATGCATATGAGTCTCTGCTACAGCGCTCTCTGGCGCTCTGCGACACCTAATCGCCACAACACTTGGTCCTCCCACGATTGGTCCTCAGATTGATTCACTCCCTTCTATTGAGGGTCTAATGGTTGAGCAGATTGTGATATCTTTTCCACAGCTATATAAAAGTCAACCAGTACCAATGAGTGAGTGAATAAGTAGAACTTACTTTCATAGTCGACTTTTTCGACTTCTACGAACTCTGCTTCCTCGAGTTCCTCCTCTTCCTCGTCCTCCTCCTCCTCATCTTCATCCTCGTACTCGTCCTCATCCTCATCGTCGTAAAAAATGTCGTCCTGCCGGTCCTTTTTCTCCGGCTTCCGCCGCGTTTCCGGCAACAACACCGACCGATTCGTCACCGAGGCCGCCAACGTCGAGAGGGTCGTCGCCGGCTTTTGCGTCGCGAACGTCATCATCGTCGTCGTCGTCGTGGGCCTCGTCGTCCACGTCATGGACGTCGCGGTCGTCGCGAGCGAGGGCGGCGTGGACTTGCGCGGGGGCAGCGTCACGTGGACCTTGGTCCATTTACTGGCCAGAGGGGTGGGCGTCGGGACCCCCAGGGACCGGTTCGTCGTGTAGATCAACCCGTTTTTCTCCGTCGTCAACGACGCCCCCGGACTTTGGTCCGGGCGTACGACCAAACTGAACTTGGTCCAGAGTTCCGTGTCGTTGAACATGAACTTGCGCCCTCTGTCGGGGAGGTTCCCACCCTGATCTGAGTCATTGCTCCCCCTGATTCCCCCGGGCCCGAGGGCGGGATCCGAAGCATCGAGCACATGCGAGAGATCCGTGCCGCCTGCGAAAACCTGTATGAGGAAAACTAGGAGCGCGATTCTGTGAGACATCTTCATCCGAGAGCACTGTACATTTTTCCTAGGCTTCGCCTAGCCCGTGGCACTCACACACTGGTCACGCACTAACACTGGCCGGCGGCATTGTCACTTGGGAACTTTGGAAGTTGATAAGGCACTGGGACACGGGGCCGTCATCGGCGGAGTACTGGAGCGGGCCGCATGGCGCGAAACTAGGATCGCGGCGCACGAAAATAAAAATTCGAGCTCCGCGCGGAGCCGCTGAACCACAACTGGTAATTGAGCCTTAAGACGACGCGGCCGAGAGTAACGCCATCAGTCTATTTGCGCTCGGAATAGTTGGACACATCCATTATCTGCAAGAAGAGGTTCTTCGGGAGCGCTTCCCAACCACTGTCTTCGGTCGCGGCCGCGGAGCGGCGCGCCACGGCTCCGTCGACGGTGAAAAGTCTCCCGCTTCCGGTGGTGCCATCTCGGAAAAATTATTGGCATTTCCGCAATGGGGTCGTGGAGCAGTCTCGTCATGTCCACGTTCACATTCCCGAACCACGCATCACGGTTTTCGCCGTTTCAGACTTCCTGCCGTGGTTTTACGACGAAAAGGTGGGGGTGTTGGAAGAGATGGGCATTTCCGATTATTTGTGGTAGTGCCCCAATAAAATTAGGTCACTAACCCAAATGTTGTGGTGCTACCACCAAAATTAATTATAAATGCCCATACTATCCGATAAATTGGGGTATTACCACCATTTTAGCGGACAACCCCTAACACTTTTTCCCCGTGTTGTTTCTTCAGTGAAAAACTCTCTAACGCCGTTCTCAGAAAACTTATTTGATTTTTCTCTTCTGCTTGAAGAATATTCTGTTACAAGAAACTTTTTGATGAATTCTCCACGAACAATATCAAATAAGAGATTTTAGAGCATCGCAATCTAGATATACAGGTTTGGAAATCTTGTCGTTGGTACATACCTCTCATGCAAAATGTTAAATCAGGCATTCAATCGCCGGCGTTAGGGCGTATTTAAATTTTCACGTGAGCCCTATTTTACATATAAGTCCATGCTTTCTAGGGATCATGTGGAACTTGGGATACGTCTTTACGTCTTTCGTTGGAGGAGCGACGAAAAGACTTAACGACTTGAGTTACAGTATATCCATACGAGTAGTATTACTGTGTCTGTGCTACTCTATTTTTATACTTGAAGACGCATTTGCGGCACGCTTATTTAGAAAAATTAAAAAAATCTTAAAATACAGAAATTGCCATTAATCAATCAGCTATTGAATCGTTCTCAAAAGCGCTAAAAGACCCCATTAAATTGCCTCTACACGTATACTCTGAATGTCCATTCTGATTGAGTCGGTGGCTCTTACTAACTTTCTAAACTAAACTTATTATTTTGGGTTTTATCATATTTTTAGGAAGCAAAAATTCAGAAAACCCCCAACCAAGTCCACAAATTCTCTTCTGTTCTGCCTGAAAAACCTAGTATATTACACATTAAATAAGTTAATGCTCCGATAGTTTATGTAGATGACTTAAGTAACTATCAGAATAATGGTATTTTTTTCCAAAACCGTCAACAATGGACGGGGGGTTTTCCTGTCTTTCTCTTTCTGATCATCCTCCTTGCCGGGTCTCTCTGGCACTGCTGCGCTCTTCCATCTCTTTTCCTTTCTCCCCTTTCCCTCCATCCGTCACATGTAACGCCTTGCTATTTCATCTCATTTTGCTCGTGAGTATCTTACTTTTTCTAATTTTCCATCTTTCGTCCTTGAGTATTTGGTTTCCTTTTCAATTCAGAAAACCACCGTGAATGAATTACCAAGCACGATTACAGTTGCCAGCACAGAGAGTATAATCTGAGATTACATCTAATTTTCCCGATGAAAGCTTGTTTTTCTCAAATTTTAGGCATGAAGAATCAGGGATTAACATGAAAAATGCTTCCGATAACTCAAGTCTTAGAAAACCAAAAGAAATAAAAACGACCTTATAAAATTTACGATGTATTGTACAGTACTGACGTGCTACGGAAAAACGCCGTATGAACCTTTAAGCGTTGCTAAGTTTCCTTTGAAAGATCTCTAGTTTCCAAAAAAATTTGTGAAAATTGTTCACCCCATTTCTAAGGTAATTTTTCTTATAATTCGATCTAAAAAGTCTGAAAATTTCAAGGCAAAATATCCACAATTTTTCTCAAAAATAAACATTTTGTCAGAGAAAATTTGGCAACTCTCGAATGTTCATAAGGCGTTCTTCCTTAGCACGGCATAGTACACATTTTGCATGTGATCCAATTTTGCATATAGGAATCCATGCTATCTGGAGCACATGTGAAAACTGAGATACGCGCCCTTATGTCAGAGGGACGACAAATTGACTTCTTGACAAAGAATTGAAAGCACCCTCTCATTTTGAACTCTCGTAGTAAAACTCGTCGTTGGCGCCGCGCCGCGGGTGAAGAGGTGAGTGCCTGGACAATCAAAACGCCTTCACTCCCGTGCGTATGCAACACGGCCATCCACTGAGCCCGAATAGTTGCATCAAGGAGTTAAAATGAAAATAGAGTGTTCGCTGCATTAAACTTTAACTAAGGACACGTTGCTTGATTCTTCTGCCCAGCGTTCAATTTTGTGCCGATGAGGTAAACCAATACTGAATTTTATCGCGACATTGTCATAATGTAATGTGCGAAGAATGATTTGATTGTCTAAATATATAACAATGTTACCGTTCTAAAATGTGGGCATCGTCCCCTACCATTCTCTGATCCAGGAACAAGGGATGTGGCAAAGCTGTTTTATGGTCATATCAAGAACTATTCGAGTGCGAATCTCAACATAGTGGTGTTTTTTTCACTTAAAGAGAGTTAGAAAAAAGTCCAGTCAAAATTGTTAAAACTGTACAAAAATACTGAGAGACAGGGACACTCCAGAGTCAACCGAAGGGTTGGATTATCTTCCTTGTGATTTACTTCCCATATCAGCAAACAAAGTGCCCTCGCCATATGACCCGTATCTCTTGTTTGAGTTTACTCCAAAGATCTTTTATGAACTTAAATTAATGACCCAGGTGGTGTGCTTGATGCTCATTTTTCAAGAATTAAAGGCATTTTTCAAAATTTACAGTTCTTCAAAATGAGCTTTCCGTGTGAATTTGCTAAGAATGAATCTTTTCATTCTTAGCAAAATCATCATTCATTCGCTGAATCTAACCCCCTCCCCCCCAAATTTCAGCGTACCCCAAAATCATTTGACGTGCATAAGGAGACCATAGATATGGTCTTCTCTGCAAATTTTGAATGAAATCCAACAGATAAATTCTGAGATATCGCTGTACACAGATTTGAGGGACGCCGGAAGGACGGACACACATTTTTTCAGGTATGGTTATTTTGACTCCAGGGACCTTAAAACGTCTAGAAATGATTACATTTCAATTTTTTCCTTGGTGGATGATAATACTTCCTCTACCCTAGGGTAGCGAGAAAGTAAAAATTTTAGTTACTATCTTTACTGTGTACAATAGGCTCCCAAGCCTCTGGAAGTCCTCCGTGAAAAACAAACGGCTGGAGCCGCGGTTCGGTTGGATCTATGACATTAGCTGTGCCCTTTCACTACACAGCAATTAGGATCGGAGAAAAAATCGTGGGGGCAGGTCGGCGGCGTGCAGGTNGGGGGGGGGGGGGGGGGGGGGGGGGGCGACGAATGAAGGTGAAACAGCACCGGGTTAAAAGTGAGTCTTTCGTCGAAAATTAGAATCGATGCGTGCAGCGTGCGTAAACGTTGCCGAAAATTGAGTAATTTGGCCGAGAAAACTGCGGAGGCGCGTAGCCGGGTTAGCGGAGTCTCCACCACCGCGCATTTAGGGTAATTTGGATGCGCCGCGCGCGCAAACGAGGTGATTGTGATTTGACGCATCGCGCCGGCACCACTCCGACGCATTTAGACGTTGCCAAATCAGCCGAAACCGAAGATCCAACGCAGAAATCACGGTGATTTCAGTTGGGTATTAGATGATAAGAAGTTTTAAGGTAGATAGGAATATACCACTAGACAAGGCACGAATTCAAGCATTCTGATACATGTTTTTCAACCAGAATTTCACGTAGAGCACAATCTGCGCAACGGAAACTTATGAAACAAACTCCAAACGAAGATATTAACGTTTTCATTTCACATTGGTTACGAGGAATTTGAACTGCCCGCTGACAAGAAACTCAAAGCTCTACGTGAGTCAAATCGCGCACTACAACGGTTTCAGCAAGCTTCTCAATCGAGCAATGTTCATTTCCCATCGTGTCGTTCAAACTATAAGCAATTTGCTATAGCTGAGCCAAAGCGTCAAGATTGAGGTTGCCAGATTTTTATATCGCAGAGACTGTCATAATAACGTTTAGCGCACGATGTGAATCACGCAGAGCATTGAGTTTTCATGAGCGGGTGGTTTGAATTCACGCTTCAAGAATCATTAAATATCTTTGGAAGGAGTTGATTTCGGTAATTTTTGTTGTGCGCGGCGTATTTTATCTGAAAGTATAGTTAAGAAACATGTATCAAAATGCTGAAATTCGTACCTTATTTAGTGGTCCATTCTGGAATAAGTTTGATAATAAATCGATCATTTTCTTTAAATATTATTTTATTGTGAACTTCTCACTTATTAATTTTACACACTGATATTAAATATTAAATAATGATGATACAAGCTACAGCTAGAAGAAAAAAAAACACTAAGAAGTGGCCCGAAACTGGCCGAACTGTTGCGCATTAGAGCTCAAAAATAATTTTGACTCTAATTTTAATTTTTGGGACTCCTTGGCTTTAATTTCCCCGCGAAATGGTGTGGACCCAGCACCATTTCTCCACCTTGTTGCTACAGCTAGAAAAACTTATAACTTACTTACTTAAATTGATCGTTAATTGCAAAATTTAGCTTAACTAATCCAAGGGTTAGGTCATGCGGAGAGTATGAAAGGCAGAATGTCAAAAAATTGTTGCTTCCCTGACGTAAGAGCGTATCTCGATCTCTGCATGCATGAGGTCAAGAGATCATGGACTTCATAGGTAAACGAGGGCTCTCGTTGAAATTGAGATACACCCTTACCTCGGACAGGTGACGAAATGTACTAAAATGTTGAGTTCCAGTGTCAAAGAGGAGAGGAGGGCCATAATTGAGATACATAAAAAGCGTTGAAACATACCCCTAAAAACGATGAAAGCACAAACACGGAAGAATAAAAGATTAATGGAATGGCGAGATATCATCTTGGAGGACAAAACTCATAACCTGCAAACTTAGATAAACTTAGCTAAAATTTCCGGAGAATAGGATCATATTAAATAAAAAGCGAATTGCAGAGATTGAATA